ACCTCTCGCCTGTGGAACTCTCTTCCCTTCTCCTGTTTCCCTGAGAGTTATAATCTCCAGCTATTCAAGTGTAATGTCAATCGACATCTCCAGTTGCCTTAATCTATCTACTACCCTCATCCTTTCTTCTATCACTCCTATCTGATCTTCCTATTTTCTGTAACCCCTTGCGTCCTAGTGGCTTCCCGCCTTGCCTGGGGTGAAATGCTTAAAAAAAAAAATTAAAAAAAAATTCAAAGGTAGAGCGATGTTGACGAATACGTTTGGAAGCCTAAGAGTTTTTTGACCTGAAGTCTCTTCCTTTTCAGTGGCTGTTTTAGAATTGGGAAAAGACAAAAGTAGCAAGGAGTCAAATTTGTATTTGTGGTGGAAGGCTTTTTGGGCTTTCATTATTAAATCTTCAGATAAAACAGATATTAATTTCTGACCGATCTTTGTAACACGGTTGAAAAAGAAAACTATGTTGAAGACTAGACTTGGAATTCTGAGACGTTTGGTATCCATTGTGGACTTCAGTTAAATTTGCTGCGTTACTTTTTGACCGACTCTCACACCACAGTTTAGAACGAATGAGATTATCTTCAGATTTGAAATCTTGACAACTTCGTTTTCTTATTTCTATGATTCACTAAATATTTATTTTTCTTCTCTCCCAAAAGAGCTAGAGAGGTTCGCATATTGTCCGGTTCACACTGGTCTCAGGTTTTTTGAACAGGAGTAGAGGTTCATCCCTTTTGTCCTCTATACGATTGGGTTTCCGGGTACTTCTAAAATCTACTTCAATGTACTTCTAAACTCTCTGCCTAAACTCTGAAATTATATTTACTCTTTTCTTCTTTCAATGGGAGAGTATATCTTCACAATCCTCCCCAGTCTTTTGAACAGGAGTAGGATTGGGCGATCATGTATCTATCGATACATGACTGACGAGGCAGATTTTTTCGCGCAGAAGTTTGCCATTTCTCAGGAGCAAAATTTTCAATTTTCTAGATTTAGTTATGTGTCATGCGTGATACACGCTTAGGCGATCAGGTATCTTTCGATACATGACTGACGAGGCAGAAAAGAGTAAAGTAAAGATTTTTCCCCGCAGTAGGTTACCATTTCTTTCTGTGGTAGACCAGTTGCTATCCAAGGCTATAGAACCCGGTCACTCCTGCTATTTACCCATAGTTAGGAGAAGAAAAGGAGGGCTCATACCTTTACGTATTAGCACGTAATGGATTCGACTGGAATTCGAACTCGGCTCTCCGATTCTTCAATCCGAGCCGCTATATATTATTCCACAGTGCAGTACCTAGCGATATTTACAAACATCGATCAACATTATCTGCATTTAACAATGCTGTTATGGAATTTAAATGTACACTCACACATAGCCTGTTTCTCAAAAGGAAGTGTTATTTCTTAAGAGTAAGAACACGAGGCATTGCACCTAACCCGCCAAAGACCTTCTTGCTACTGACACCGTAGGAACATCGATGTTGTTACAAACCCCCTCCCTCCCACGCAGTCTTCAAGAATAAACAGCGAAATATAAATATTACAGAGTTAGTCGATGTGCAAGTACTGGTTGTTTATGGCGTCTGGTTAAAAATTCGCCTAGCATATACCTACACTTCCAATCCAGATCTACAAATCCACAATTCGCCCTTGCATGGAGTATTGCTGCCATATATGGTCTGGTGCCCCTTCTGTTTGCCTCGGGGTTCTTGATAGGCTCCAGAGGCGGATATGCAATGTAGTTGGCCCTGCCCTGGCGTCTCGTCTACAGTCACTTTCTCACAGACGCACCGTCGCCTCCCTCTGTCTGTTCTACAAATACTTTCATGGAAATTGCTCCGAGGAGCTGCATTCGCTGGTCCCAGACTTCATGAGTTCAAGCGCCCTACGAGGCTGGCATCCCGCTCTCACCCCTTCACTGTCGAAACTCCTAAATGTAGCCGTCTCTTCTACTCTAATAGCTTCATGTCTCGCACCTCTCGCCTGTGGAACTCTCTTCCCTTCTCCTGTTTCCCTGAGAGTTATAATCTCCAGCTATTCAAGTGTAATGTCAATCGACATCTCCCAGTTGCCTTGATCTATTCACTACCCTTCTCCTCACACTTTCTTCTATCACTCCTATCTGATCTTGCTCCAAATTTTCTGTAACCCCTTGCGTCCTAGTGGCTTCCCGCCTTGCTTGGGGTGAAATGCTTAAAAAAAAAAGTAAAAATAATGTCTGTGAAATATTTTTCAGATATCTAGATACGGAAGGGACGGTTTTCATAATATTCTACCATTACAAGAGCCAGAGTAGGATGAAAATGGAATATTGCTGCCCAGTGATCACTTTCCAATCTCGATAGATTTCCAAAGCCTATCAGCATCCTTGTGGGTGATGAATTATTTTCCACCATAGAACTCCTTTCCTATAAACGAAACGTCACGAACTTTTAGCTGCTCTATTTCCATCGAAAGTGCTCAGACGAACTATATTCTTTAGTTTTCTAACCTTCACGGCTAAGACTCGCCATGCCACGCCCATTGTAACGTACCACCCCCATTCCCTTCGTATTCCATTGATGAAATGGAAATTCCAACCGAACAAATTCTTCCTATGAACCGCTGATTTGGGGAACCAACTCCCAAGTGGATGCTTCCCCGATGACTACAATCTTAACTTGTTCAAATCTAGGCTTAAACGTTATCTTCCTCACATTTCCCCATAAACTGTGCCTCTTAATCTATAACCCTCTGCCTCGAGTGGCTCTTGGGACTTCTATAAGGTGAACATCATTGTAATGAACAAAAAAATTAGCTATCCCCGCCAGATTGCACACTAACATGAGTTAGTTCTCTCCAAAGAGCTCGGGTTTGAGTGGCCCTATACATACGCTCATACGACACCACACAATAATCCTCTAGTTTGGGCAGCTCTTGGGCCTTTTAGTGAATGAACATTAGTCTATAAAAAAGAGTGTACATCTTGATCAGGAACAATCTTATAACACTTCCAAAAGGGGCGCCTCGAGGCGGTGCAATGGTTAGCAAGCTTGTCTCGCTAGAACAATTACGACTGAATAGTGAGTTCGATCCACACTGGGTGCTCCATACTTTCGGCATTGTGCCACATCTAAGCTACTCTTAGAAAACCACTCGCCACTTCTACGTGGTGTAATGTTTAGCAAGCTTGTCTCTCTAGAACAATTACGACTGATTTGTGAGATCGATCATCACTGGGTGCTCCATACTTTCGGCCTTGTGCCACATCTAATTTACACTTGGAAAATCAGTATAACACTTGCGAAAGATCTGCAAAACTAGCTCCACAGCAAACGCTTAAATTTAAAAAAAAAATCGATAAAGTTCAACTTCGGTCACAGCAAAAAAAAAATAAAAAATAAAAAACACCCGGTGTAATTTTTATTGTTTTGAAAAGATATTTTTAAAATTTTAATAAAAGCCAATCTTATGAAATTGAATTTACGTATACAGGTATCCACCGATTAATGCATTTTCGATTAGTGCGCTAAAATTCTTATATACCAAAATTCGATTAATGCAGTCAATCATTGTTCAGTTTAGGAATTGAAAATTGATTTTTTTATAATTACCGATGTAGATATTAGCTGCACTAATCGAGGCATCCCTGTATTTCTCGAGAACTGCCAACAGAAATGTTTAATTATTTACTCAATTATCAATTTTCAAGACTCTTAATTTATAATCTGTAATTAAGCATAATTATATGAAATTAAATTTGGGGGTTTGTTTTATTTATTTTTTCTATTTTAGCTTAGTTTAGAAATTTTTTTTTTTAAAAATTTATGTTTTTAAAATCTATTTTCAGAAATTTAATAACACCTTAAAATATGAAAAGGAATTAATGCATTTTTCTTCCTGTAATTAACCCTAACTTTCTCAGATTCTTGCTTTAATTTTCCCTGGGCGAAGGGGGTTCAGTTGACTATTCAGCTTCATATGTTGGGGTTATAGTAAAATCCTAAAAATAACATTTTAAAAACAAACAATTACCCAGGGAGAATACAATAATCGCTGCGTCATGAGAAGAGAAAAAAGAAACGTCCTTTTGATAGATATTTGTTTTTCTTTATTTTTTTGCTTGATCTTAAGTTGCCAATAAATCTCTTTGAAAGTGCAAATAAAAGTATAATTCTTTGATTTCGACGATTACGGCGTTCTTCTGTATATGACTAACATTCCAACCAGCTATTAGTCATGGGGGGTTGGTGTTGTGGGAACTTTTGAAAGACTGCTAGCAAAGAAAGAATGAGATAAATTCTCTTGAACAAAATTGTTGTCACTATTTACATTGCTCGGACTATCACCCTCATCTTTGTTGCCATATATATTACAACGTTTCGGCCGTTGTACGCTCCGGCCTTCTTCAGGTGGTTGGAATGTCGAACTGAACTCTTTAATTCGCTCACTGGGGTAGACTGTTCTAGTTCCACGTGCCATGTCTAATGGATGTCAGTTATCAGTTATCCTCTTAGTTCCCTTCTCCAAGTTCTCCACTGCCTTAACCAGGTATTGAACTTACACTCTTTGGGTCTTGTCACTGTATCTAACTAACGCCTTTATCCACTGTGCCATGGCACAATGGATAAAGGTGAATTAACAGGAGATAATTGATAACTGATAACTGACATCCATTAAATATGGCACGTGTAACTAGAACAGTCTACCCCAGCGAGCGAAATAAAGGGTTCAGTTCAACATTCCAACCACCTGAAGAAGGCCGGAGCCTACAAAGGCCGAAACGTTGTGATAAATATGGCAACAAACATGACAATAATAGTCCGAGCAATGTAAATAGTGTACATAATACCTCATCTCAGAAATATAGACAGATACAAAATTGTTGTCACTCTCACATTTATTGGATAGAAAATTTCTACATACCACGTTTTGCCATTGAGAAGGACTTCCTCAAATTAACGTAATATTTGTTATCGATGAAATTATATATGTGTAAGTCTTACGGCCTCATCACGTTAAAACACCGATTCGATCACGGAAGTTAAGCAACATCGAGCCTGGTCAGTACCTAGATGGGTGACCGCTTGGGAATACCGGGTAATGTAAGCTTGGATGTGCGGGTGGTGTAATTGATAATGGCTCGGATTTATTAATCGAGTTCAAATTCCGTTGGATTCGTCATATTCACTTACACACAAATACCCTTGGGAAAGACATGAATCCACCTATGGGTTTATTAGTAAAACTTGCATCACTAAACCATTATTATCTTAAAGAAAATTCTTACTGACTAAAAATATTTCTGTCTTTAAATGACTTGCAACTGGTTGATAAACCGTAAAAACCAAATCAATATATATGCGTAGGATGGGCAGAGGGAGATGTAAACACAATCGCCGGTGATTATTATATACCTATGGGCAACACTGAATACGTGGAAAGTTGGAATTTTAAGTAATTTTTTTTTTTGTGGTGGGTAGTTTAAAATTTTTTAGTTTTAATTCACTTATTAGACATGTCTGGAAACGTCATCTAGCTGCTTTCATTGGTTGAAACTCTTAGAGACCGCAGATGCTTTGCTACAAATTCTACAACTGGCTAATTGTTTTATTCTCAACACATAAGTACTCGATATCAAGTACAAGTCGGGTCCTGGGTATGACGATAAACTACATCCGCGTCCTGGGTAAGACGATAAACTACGTCCCACAGCAAGGCCTCTGATCAGGAGGTTTTGAGGAGCGTGGAACCACCTCTTAATTGCTGGTGTTCCCAGGTCCACCCTGACCCGGGGTGGTAGCACCTGTTAGGGTCCCAGCTATGGGCAAATAGTTAAACCCGAAACTGAGGGAAAAAGCATTATAAAATATTACCAGCAACACGTTTTCGAAAAAAAATATTACCACCAATACATTTTTGAAAAAATAATAATATTACCAGCTATATATTTTTGAGGAAATAATATTAACAGAAATAGATTTTTGACAAAACAAAAAAATTACCAGGAAAAAAAAGTTGTCGGCATTAAATGACCTATTTGATATGCTGTAAAACAAACCAAACCAAGTACAAGTCCGTGTATTGAATATTATTGCTACATTTGGTCTAATGGTACTGATGTGTATCGAGAGAGTCTTAACAAAATCCAAAGAAAAATCTGCAATGTTATCAATCGTGACCTGGCATCACGGCTTCTATTACTTTCCCCATTGCCATTTACAGCTATGAGAAACAAGATATCTTAAAATTATTTTATAAACTTTAAGGTGAGATTTATAATGCACTTGGTGAGGATCGAACTCACAACATTAATAACTTTGCGTTCGTTGATCACTGCTCTACGGCAGGTATCCGACTAAAAGAAACCTTCTTATCATTGAAGAAAGATGATTCATGATATCAACTCTGTGCTTGAAAAAGTTTAGACAAACGAATTCGTTGTTCCGGACAGATTTTTCCAAATCTTTCCAACCTCGAGGTTTTATTCTGACGTCAGAAGTATCTATGGCATTACGGACAGCATGAATATGTTTTGTTTTATTTTTATTGATAATTAGTTTACTCGTCCCGTCAGCAAAATGTCAAATCTATTTAAAACTATTTAATACTTTTTTTAATACTAAAGTACAATGCATTTTAAAAATAATATTCCATTTACCCGCAAGATGAACTTAGAGATGCAAAACCATTTTTTTTTTGTTTTTAAATCATTTCGCCCTAGGCAAAACGATAATGGCATTAACCCTAGAACACTAACCATCAGTTACACTACTACTAACCATGGGTATATCATACCCGATTTTGAAAATATCAAAAAAAAATAAAAATATTAAATATAAATCTTTATTTGAAATATTTGACATGCAGGCACTTCAAATTTTGTACTTTGAGTTAACATTAATATGAACTGAAAAAGATATTATTTAGGTAAGAAAATCAGGTACTGAAAATAGTAATTAAAAATGGGAAAATTTGCGCTGGGTACTATGGGTACCCATGGTTAGTGTTCTAGAATTAAAAGTCAAAGCGAGTGAAAGAGAAATTGAAAGGACAAGATAAGAACGGGTTTCAGAAAGACAGAAAATGGCGATTCGTGTTGCATTGAAATTATTGAAGTTCGGAGGTGGCAGAGAAGCATGAAACCGGAGGGGAATTCCACAGGCGAGAAGTGCGAAGGAAGAAACAATTAGTTAGAACTTACGGTTACATCTAGCTAATTCAACAGTAAAACTATGAGACCTACTTGTCGATCTACTACCACTCTTAAATTGAAGCAGTAGCAAGGGTATATATATATATATATATATATATATATATATATATATATATATATATATATAAAAATTAGGAGGTCAGTTGAATCCGCTACCTTGGTTTTCAAACATATGATATCCTCAGGCGATTTTTATCAAATGACCACTTAACGTTTTATTTCTTTTTTAAACTAATGTACGCTATATTATTATTTTGAATTATTATAATGTTTACATTGGAATTTCTGCGGGGAAATGGAAACAGATTTTATACACATAGGGTCTCATTTTCTAACCCTAAACTAAAACACCAGACAGCTCTTTCAAAAAAAAAAAGGAATAGAAAAGCAGGACAGAGTGCAGAAAGATATGGCGACCTACTGTGGCAAAAAATCTGCCTCGTCAGTCATGTATCGAAAGATATATGATCGCCTAAGCGTGTATCGCGCATGACACATAACTGACTGATGTACTCTTAATAGTCTTAGAGATAGGTGTGACTTATGTTTAGAAGAAAAATTAGAATAATAAAATACAATAATCAAAATCAACTATTGAATCAGAGGAATGAATTAGTGTTAAAATGTCGACATAAAAACAAATTCAAATTTCCATAATATAGGTTTAACTTAATTAGCTACTATATTCACTCCCCTCTAATTCTTCAAATGTCGACAGTATAAGTAATTCTAATTTCTATATCCCCCTGTATACTTCTTTACACTATATTTATAAATATTCCCCTATTTAAGATCTCCCCAACCCTCTTTTCATTAATCCCTTACACCCTTTTGTCTATATATTTTATACTTATTTTAAACCCGTTTTTATTCCTCTTTTAATTTTAAATTAACATTTCATTCTTCATATAACCCCAGATTAATGTCATAAGTTTAATATTCTGGTATAATTTTCTAAAAATAAGACAAATAACTTCTACCTTTCCCTGACCACTATCTTGTGCCTTTCGTCTGACTGAAACATTGAAATGCATAAATTCTGTACTAGTTTTTCGGGGGTGGGGGTTTATTTAGCTTTCACAGTTAAATTTCTATTTCAGACACGACCTCAGTCTACGCTGGGGTTGATGAGACAGAGAAGACCGGTGTTCTCATTGGCCGAAATAGGCTATTCTCCATAGGAGATGATTTTGGATTTTATTGTTTATATATATATATATATATATATATATATATATATATATATATATATATAATGTTCACTCCGTACAAAAGCCAAGAGCCGCTCGAGGTAGAGGGTTTCAAGACTAAGAAGCACAATGGCTATCTACAGACGATAACGGTTAACACTAGACTTGAACAGGTTGAGATTGTAATGGTCGGGGAAAGCATCCTTTTGGGAGTTGGTTCCACAATGCAGCGGTTTATGAGAAGAAGCTGCTCGATTCTAGCGGAGTGAATGAGGGTGGTCATCTACGATGGGCGTGGCACAGCGGGTCATAGCCGTAAAGGTTGGAACTGGTGGAACTAAGGAATATAGTTCGTCTGAACATTTTCCATGGAAATAGCGATGGACCTGCGAAACTCTTGCTGCGTTTGATCTGTGAGAAAGGACGGAAAATCGTTCATCATCCACAAGGACGCGGAGACGTTTCTAGTTTCTATCGAGACTAAAAAGTGGAGACTATGCAGCTCTTGTCTATATATGGTATGTCCACACTTTCAGATAAATGGACAGAACTGACTTCTCCCTGGATATATCAAAAAGTCTTTTATGTGCCATCTCCCTTCACCATGTAAGCGATCATGGCTCTCCACAAATCCCTATCCTTCTTTTTCCATGTTCTGTCATCCATTTACACAAGCTGTATATTATTCGCTGTTTGCCTTTGCCCTTTTTGCTTTCACTTGTGCTACTTTGAGCAACCGACTCCCAAGAGGATGCTTCCCCGATCACTATAATCTTAATCTGTTCATGTCTACGATTAACTGCTATCTTCCCCATATATCCTCATAAAAAGTGACTTTTGCTTTGTAACCCTATAATTTGAGTGGTTCTTTGTACTGGGTGAAAATTATTTAAAAAAAAAAAGCACTCTGAGTGTCAAATTCACCTGGCCTCCTTTCCTCATGATGCGTCGCATAAATTTTAAATGTCTCTTTCTAATGCCCCAACATTAGCAGGTAAGCATCTTTTCCACTTAACCTAGAATTAACATTATAACTGCATAAGTAAGCCAAAGCGGTTGCTATATCTATTGGCAGTAATGACAAATCAACTCTCCCGGACAAAATAATATATAGAATCCTCGAAAACATTTAAAGGGCGTTGGTGAAAGCTTTTATTCTCAGATGACCTACCATGTTTATTCATACTACCCCCACGTGATACGCGTGTTTGTGAACCAAAACACAATTTCTGGAAGCCATTTGGAATTTGTTAATGCCATTTCCTGGGAGCTGAAGCCAAAGCAAAACAGAAATATGGACCGCCTGTAGAATTTTCTGCAAGGCATCTTCGCTTTGTTTTGACACCCCCCCCTAAAATAACCCAGATTTTATACTTTTACGGACGATCGACCAAGAAAGCCAAGTTTGTGTTAGAATCCTTAATTCTTTGCGCAAACGATATACACTGCCTGAAAATGTCCCTTCTTGTAAGGTTTCTGCTGTCACATCATAAAACGGAATTGTCAAAGAGAATTCAAATTTTGACTTCGTCCTAATACCCTTGTGAAAGGCATGAATTTAATTCTCCCAGCATTAGAACAACAACAAAAAAAAACCTTAATAGGTATCACGTCGCTAGCATAACGTCATGGTACACAAAGAATAGGCCGAGCATTTGTGAAAACCACTCCCCCATAAATTTGGTTGGGTGATTTTGTTTGGCG